CATCGTAAAGAACTACAAGAGGTTTGTAGACTCCGGTACTTATTTTTGCAGCTTATTTCCTCCCAGACAGTCCAAATAAATGGATTCCTGGAAGACTCTTCTCACTGCCAGTCTGTGCTTTGACTCATCCCTCTGGCTAGGGGTGAATCATCTAAGACACAGTGATCTAGAGCGCAGAGTTCAAGATCGCCCCTGGAGCCAGTTCTGCTGAGGGTCTTGCATGTGGCCACTCAGCCAGACACGGGGTCACCCTGCAAACCTACTACTTAGGTTAGTGCTTTAGGTCAATCAATGCCTTTCATGTTTTTGCTGCAGTGTGAAAACTCTTCTGTTTTGTAACTAACCACCATATATATATATATATAGATATATATATATATATCGATATTTTAACACTTGCTGAGTCACGTAGACTCAGTCACTTCGCAGCCTCTGTGTGAGGGGGGATTTTTTTTTCCAGGTTCACAGGTCCTCACCTGCCTTGGCGATGCCTTTGCTTTCGTGGCTTTGAAATACATTGTCTTGGAGGAGGCAACATGCCTACAATTCCTCTTTCCTTAAAAACATCCCCAGCATGTTTTTCCCCCCTTGTATATTATTATGAAGACCGAAAACAGCAGTAATCTTTTTAACGTGCTCATTTAGTGACGCTTAAAAAGGAGGAGGTGGAAAGCAGCGTTAGCAGAGCGTAACAGCAGCGAGCGTTGCACAGCAGATCCTGGGCTTTTAGAAATAATATTGCCAGTGTCTTCATGAAAGAGATATTATTATGACAATTCGCTGTCAAGCGCGGGAGACATCTCTTAGAGACAAAACGCCCATCTGGAATCGTTTTGCAAGACGCAAATATCTAATTTGGAGCAAGATGACAAAGTGGACCGCGCACGCAAACATCACTTGTCACTTCTGCGGGCTCTCGGGCGATGTTGTGTGCAAAACCCTAATCACTTTTTAAAGATCTGTTTTCAGGCACAGCTCAAGAAGCAACAAACGTCTCTTTTTGGCATTTGCTTCTTCTCTGAGCTCATGGTGTCCATGAGAGTTTGGCCTCCTTCCATTACTGCCGTGATGCATTCGGTGGTCCGTTTGTTGGTCCATCGCAGTGAGCAGTCCACCTAGATACTAGGTGCTTCATGATTTTCTTCAGAGCCAGAAGAATTAGGGGTTTGTTTCCTACACATCTCTCAGAAAAAGTGGGGAAAAAAGCTTGATAAGGAAGCTCATGGATGGTAAGCTGTCGTGACAAATAAATGTCTCGGAAAAAATAATTACTAGGCATTGCAAGCCATGGAGAAATGAATTTGGACCACATTGCACATGTAGGATCAGAGAAATAAAACATCCAGGGTGTGAGACTTCTTGGGATGGGTCTTGACTTTTAATAGCCTGTAGAATGAGTTTGGAGAAGGCGGGGGAGTTGTGAGATACAGGAGCTTTTTTCCTTTAGGTCTGTAGTTATCACTTGATTTGCAAATGTAAAGGAATGCCAACTGCTATGGCAGAAATAAAAATGACACCGTGTACCCAAAAGGTACTACCTGTTCTGCAGCAAAGTCTGGTCTCTGTAGACTGCTGCTCATGATGGTGCAAATCCCCTGCCATGAATCAGGTAACCCAAAAATGTGTGTGCTTCCAGGGTTGTTTTTGTTCTTGAGCATTTACAGCTCTCTCCGAGCAAGTGATTAGAAATGATTAGAGAGTAAATGCATAAACAGTGGGAGAATGGGTTTCTATACCTGCAAATATCTTGCTAGCAACTTATATATATATATATTTATTTGCACGGTCTCCCCAGTGACTGCAAAATGAGATACAGTAGGAGGGCTGTCTCTGAGAATGGACTGCTGTCAGGGAAAGATTGGGAGTGACAGATCAGGGAATAAAAGTGCTCCAGAACACCTGAGGAGCCTATTAAACACTCGCAGTCTGCAGACCAAAACAAGGTGTCCAGTTGCATTAACTCACCTCAGGAAAAGTGGAACCTGCTAGTTCAGCGTGTCCATCTCTGTGGCACTTTGAAGGGAAATCGCCAAAAATGGTTTGCAGAGCTTTAAAACTGTAGATGCAGCATTTTCAACCTCTCCGAGATGAGCGACTGCAAATTATTTTAATGCCTTTGTAGCTTCAGCCCAGCAGATGGGTCATCTGCAGCAATTGTAGAGCAAATGTGTTCTCTTTTTCCTGAAAAGTGGCATTACTTGAGTTGATTTAGAGGCCAGATGAAGTATAATTAACATGAGTGTGAGGGAATGTCGCTCTCAATCTCTTTTCTTTTTTCTCTAATGCCCTTTAAGCTAAGCACAGCATCCAGGAAATCGCTTCAGGAAAACTAGTCTGGACTTACCAATTGCATTGGTAATAGACTAAGTGTCGAGCTTCTGGAGAACTAAATACACCCTTTCTCAACTTATTTTCTGCCTCTTTCATGCAGTGTGTGTGGGAGGCACTATGTTTGGAAAAACAAATTGTTTATCCTTGAAAGAACACCCACTAATGTGACAGGAGGGAGGAACTGGAATTTCAGTGCAAACATGAAAACAAAAACTTATTTGCCTCTCTGGAGCAGGAATTGCTATGCTGAGCTTCAGGCCACCGCTTGTGGCCATCCAAAGGAGATGTCACCGTTCAGAGGAGACTCTCTGAGCATCCTCTCTGAAATCCTGTTCTTCCCTGCATCTTGGCATGCCCTCTGCTGCACTGTGTCGATGCTGCGGTGTTGCCAACCACTTCTGGCAGCCAGTTTTTCACCCAGCATCTCCAAGGACTTCTTGTCCAGATACACCAGGTCACCCCGGCTTAGTTCCACCGTGCCCTCAGAAGGTGTAGGGACCATCATCACGTGCAAAATACTGTGTATGCAATTAGCTCAGGTTTCCTTTCCAAGGTCTAAGGGAAGTCTTGGATAGGCTTGGGGCAGAGTGACTGGAGAGGGAAAAAAGAAAGAGGAGTTTATTGGCATTTGCTTTCAGAAATCAATTTCTTTATGCAGTTTTGAGCAAGGAAACAAGTAACCAAGCAGAAATCCCTACAGGTGATCCTGTCCACGACTGCATCTCAGATGGTGACATTTCAGCCTAAAGATGGGCAGTTCCTCCTAGCAGAGTTTCATGGACTGAAATGTCCTCTGGACCTGAAATGCCTCCTCATATGGCACCAGCACCAGCTTTATTCCCTAACTTGGAAACTGGGTTCCCTTCAACATGCTTTGCAGGCAAGGGGACAGAATAAATAGTTTCTTGAAGAGACTGAGCCCTATTTTCCGTGAGGTCTTCCATCATAAGTAAAGGATTATCTCCAAACACAAACGTCTGCTGTTCTGTTTTATGTCATTTCTCAGACTTCAATTTCACAAAATTGTAGAAAAAAAGAGATACATGTGTATGTATATCTATTATCTTTTACCATGCTGCAAATTCTTGAAATTTGATTTCTTGCTTCTGAGTCTTCTGCCCTCCCGCTTGACTTTCTAGCTTTTATTTTTCCATTTGCAGCAGATTGCTCATCAGATCTTGATTTTCATGCAAATTCAGATACCCACATGAAAACAGCCTTCAAAATACTGATCTTCATAGGCAAGTGTTTGAATACTGTAATTGGGGAAAAGTAAGAATCTATTTTAAGAGCCTATTTAAGGTTGTCATGGAGAGAATAAGGGTACCTTTTTTTTAACTGGAGTGTCAAGCAGACCACCCAATGCAATGCTGTATACGAGGGCATTTTTTCCAAGTCTTATTCTTCTATCAGGATTGTCATCAGCTCAGCTTGATTTTTTAACATTTTTTAATAGGTCAGTAGGTGTTTGCTCTTTCAGAAGGACATTTACAGCCCTTCATAAATAGCCAGAAAGACATGACGTTAATTCTGTAGCTTGGTGATGTCACCTGGATGGCGTTGTCTGGTCAGGGGGTTGTTTTTCTGATTATATCCATTCTATTGCTATGTTAAAACTCTGAATATTTGTTTTTAGGAGAAATTGGTTTAATACCCTAACTTTTCAATTGTATGATTTCATAATTCAGGCATGTAGTACATTTAGAATATAATACATGTAACTTTTTAGCTGTATAGTAATAGTTTCTAACGTAAAAAGGATGTTATTGAGAGCCTGAACAATCTCATTTTTCTGCACCTAGTTGGTCAGTTCTATCTTGATTATTAATTGGTACATTAAATGAAAATCATGTTTATGAAATAACAGAGGCTTCCAAATTTTTAGTTCTACTGTATCATAGCACACGTTGGTTTTAAGCTAATAAAAACAAATTTTGTTTTAATTGTGCCTCCAAATACTCCATTCATGCCGCGAGGGTTTCTTTTTGCTTGGCCCCAGGCACAAACCTCAAACTCCGAAACGTCACCTATGAGAGAAAGTCTGATTTATTTGGGGTTGCATATAGCCCTCCTCTAGGCACTCCCACCACATGGGGCCTTGTGATCCATGCTCCTAAAATCAGGATACGGCATTGGGGGACCTCAGTGTAAATCCGGAGGTGTCGGATGGTGCTGACGCCAGGAAGCAGAGTGTGGTGAAGGCGCCGCTGAGCGGGCTGCTCCTGGACCAGCCTCCGTGTATTTGCTCGGTGCTACATTTAGGTTCATATTTTTTTGTGTTTTGAGGATTATTTTGGTTTTGTTTTTTCTGGTGTAACAGAACTTGGGTGGGAAAAATTTGTGCCATCCCCTGGGCAACCGACCACGTTTGCAGCCCGGTATAAACCCGTAAGCGGTTCTTAACCCCTGCCCAGCTCAGTGGAGGGTGCTCCAGGTGTTTAGCGCAAGAGGCCTCTCATCATAACAAGTGGATGCTTAAAAACATATCTTGGGTGGCACAAGATGACGAGGTTTGCATTATCGGTGCTGCTTTTACGGTAAACACTTGACAAGCCCTCAGAAACAAGGGTGTATGAAAATGCGTGCATGAAATGTCTATGTAAGAAGTACAACTGGCTTTGGCAAGTGTGCAGAGATGTTCAGTAATCGAGGGTTCCCTTGTGTTGCAGTGTTCCCACATTCCAGAGCCTTCCCGAGGAGATACTCAGTAAGCTTGCAGATGTCCTTGAAGAGGTAAGTGCTTTTAATTTTGCAGTCTAATGAGCTCATGGGCTGGAAGCCTTCTGATGGAAACATGCGGGCTCCTCTCAGAAGGAACCACACTCCACAACCTTGTTCCCAGTTACGTCTGATTGCTCCCGGAAATAGAGGCAATGGTGCCAAAACGACTCCGTTTTGCAAGGGATTTAACAAGTTTTTAAGGGGGTTTTGGGAACTGAAAGAAGAGTCTCCTGGGTTTTGCGCAAGGGAGACCTTCTGACACAGTTCCCATGCTGGAGACGTGTCCCGAGCTCTTCTATTGAGCAGTCTGATGTCAGAGACCTATGAAGGAGGCACGGTTGGTCTGAACACGTGGGGTACGATAGCCATGTTGGGTTTTGTTGTCTTAATGCTTTGGCCCATCCTAATGATGCATTTCTGAGCTGTGTATTGGGTCGAGCAGGGCATATATTGGAGGGCAATATCGTACTTGAAGGTGTGAGAATAGCTTTAAGGTAAGGGAACCACTTCTCCCGTAAGGATTGCTGCGGAGAAGGGCAAACTTTGTATGTTGAGACATTTGAAAGTCCTTATGGAGTTGTGCCAGGTCTACTCGGTTATAAGCAAGGATCTCGTTAGCATCAAGCTTCTAATGAGTCTTTATTAAAAAAAAAAAAAAAAAATCGTGCTCTAAGTGAATGGAAATGTCTGTGTGTAGTAGTAACTACCACCTCTGTCACGGATTTTAGGAAATGAAGCCGCTGAAGTTTAAGTTGATTTTCAAGTCATTTTTTTTTACTTTTTGCCTTTTTATTTTTCATGCAGAGGCACTCCATAGATAGACAAAGCAACAGATTCCTCTGTCGCAAGAAATCCCTTGCAACGGAAGTGCTCACGTCTAGAGAAAAGAGCCATATGAACTCAATACGCGATGAATTAAATCTGTGTATCACAAGAAAAAAAAAATCCACACACCTCTAAGCAGAAACAAGCAGTTGGATCACAAAAACAAATCCAAGCTCCTTATCAAGAGTTACAGAAAATGTATAAAGTCAGTAAACCTTTTTCAAGCACCCTCAAAGTTTCAAGGGAGAAAAAGCAATTAAGAACATAGATGTAGAAATGAGGTACCTAACTATAAAAATAAGTATTTGCCTTAAGACCTTGTTTACTGATCTCAAACTCACAAAGCTAGCAAGATAATCCTCCGTAGTTTCATCTATCAGTTAAGATTTCTAAGAAAATGAGTGGCAGGAAGAAGCCAAACTGTAGAAATTAAGATGACTCCTTGCTTGAAAATTCGGAGAAACGCAGGCTGCGTAATGATGATGTTGTGTTACTGCTCTAAGAGAGTCCAGCATCTTTTATAGGGGTTTAATTTCTCACCCGGTGCTGCAATCTGAGGGCAATTCTGTGCATTTAGGCAAGATGCTGTGTTGCAAGAGCAGCGTGTCATCCCCAGGCCATTTGTGTAGACCCACTAGATACATCTTCCAAAAACCAATTACTTCAAAATATATGTTAGTCGTAGTGTTGTTCTTAATACAGGATATTTTGCAGTCTCCTTACTGAGTATTTTATGTTTAACACTTTGAAGCATAGAGCAAATAATTTTATTTTGTCCCAGCTGTTACTGGAACAAGGGTTTCATCAAAGGGTCTGGGTTTCATCTCTTAAAGTTAAAGCAGGTTCTGTGGACAGCTTGCAGCCTACATTTTTTAAAGCAATTTCTAAAGCACGTTAGTTAAAACCTGGAAGCAAGAAAGGTCTTTTAATTGGCCATTTCCAAAAGCAAATGGGGCAGTGGGGAAAAAATGAAGCTTGTTAATGATTTCACTTTAGGAATGGATAGCAATGCCAAGTTTACTTATTTAGGCCAGATGGTTTAAATAAGGACTAACAAAGCCCTGAAATGGGAAAGGAGAAGGAAAGGCCTTGTGCTGGTTTCTAGCTTGTGTGTGTGGCGATTCCTAGCTCTGAAGTTGCTTGTGGTTCGTACAAAGGTATGAAAACTGGGCAATTCGCTTTAATTTTAGCAGCTCTGAATGTAAACTGCTGATTTTGTGCGTTTTTGCAACATCTTTTGTGATATAAGTGAAGATTTACAGGTGCTTGGTCAATAGTTCACCCTTTTTCCCCATCAAGGTGACTCTGGTGCAGCAGTTTTAGCAGTGCCCCGGGGCTGGTTCTCTGTGTCGTTACATTAGATGGTTTTCATTGTATTAGTATTTCTTACCGTTGCATGGGTATGTGTTAAGCTGCAATGTAAGACTGACTCTGTGTTAACATTTCTTGGTGTTCTTAGTAACAACTGCAATTACTTTTGGCACCCTTGAAAGCCAAGCAGATGCTGTAGTCCAGAGTTTGATTTAGTTTGGTTTCAATGCCGTCTCTGTTGGAACACCTCTTGCTGGCCTGAGATTTTTTATTGCCTTGTTTAGTCTCACGCTGGCCAACCATAATGCACAAATCAGCAAGTAATATGTTTCTGTAGCTTAAGCCTTAATTCTTATTTCATTTGGGTTTTGCTCGGTTGGTGCCTTAAGGAAAGGAGGCTTGTGCAGGCGCTGACTGCCCATAGGGATTGCCCCCAAATTTCTTTTAATTTTACCCAAAGCACTCTGGGCAGATGGAAGGAAATGTCCACGGTGCATCATAAATTTATCAGTGTTTCTGGTTAGAGAGAGAAGAATTAAGTGAAAGAGGTTGCAGCAGGAGCCTGTAATGTTCCTTTTTTCTTGGCCTCTGGCTGGCCAATACACCTGAACCTGTTGGAGAGGGAGACGTGGGGAAGAACAAGCTCCTGGAGCCCTTCAGGATGATGGGCAAGTGAGGGTTTTTTATGGTAATGATGCTCAAGGGATGCAAGATCCATATTCCTTGGCACCCGGAATGGTTTGCTTGGTGGGGTGGTGCAGCTCATCCTGCTGCATATCTGGGGAGTCAGAAGCAACACGTATCACCAGAGCCTGTTAGACTTCTTAGAAAAATGTTGCTCTGTGCCCAACATGTGGCCAGGAGCTTGCAAAAGTCTGCTGTGAGCCCCAGCTGTGTCCAGAGGCCAGAGAAACATGGGGGCATTTTCAGCCTGGTGCAGCAGTAACCATTGGAAGAGGCCACCAGCCACAAGCCATGGTTTCCTTCTTGCATTCATAGCATTATCCTCCAGTAAATATATACAATTATATATATTATATATTTTATATTGCATGTAATGTGCAGTACCATTTTTTTTTCTTGCTTGGTGCCTGCTTTCTTCTGGTTTTCTTCCTTTGAAAAGTCCTTGTTGATCTCTTTTCAACGCTCAAATTCATGAAAATGTAAAATCCTGACCTTTCTTTCCTCCGTTTTTGAAGGCGTTGAGGTAATTTATGGTTGCCTTTTCAGAGTTTCCTGTTTTCTTAGAGTTAAAAAAAAAATAAAAAAAGTGTTCTTTTTGTCCATTGGGCACTGGTACTATGCTGTATATCACTAAAATAAATGCATTTTCTTTCTGTCATAAATGGTTCTTTTCTAAGAATACGCAGCTTTTGCCTTTGAGCACTTTGTAACAGTTTGTAACAGATGGGAATAAATTATTTTTTTTAGGAAATTGCATAGTACATCCAAAGACCCGTAGAGTGATGTGCTTAGGAAATGATTACAAGTTTTTGTTTGGTGCTGAAGAAGGTGGAAAGAGTGATTTTATTTTTTTTCCTTCTCTTACCTACCTGTATTTAGTCACTGGCTGTAGGACACTCGAAGGTTGGTTGTACAAAGATTTTTCTTGGTCATATAAAGGTTTTCCATGAAATCCTTTCCATCCTGAGGTTCATTCATTCTCTTGTTTCTGTGTTTTGGGTTTTATTCCTCATTTTTCCAATATCTCCTCCTTGTCAATCAAATATAAAGCTTATATACTTGAAAGACTTATGTCTAAAATCAGTAGGCTGGGTAACACGACTTTTAGAAAGTTTGCTTGACCTTCTCCCTTTTGAAACTGCTTCCACTTCTCATGATCTGAACGGAAATTACTCCAGGTGCCCATTGGTCCAGAGGGGATTTTATTTTTTTTTTTTTTCCAACCAGACCTTCTAATCCCGTCTCAAAGAACGAGATTGCTTTGTCCATATGTCAAGGGTAGAGCTGTGTTATGACCCTGAATATAGGTCCCGTTTTGATTGAGTTACGTATGGCTTGCAAAAACCTTATTAGACCTAAATGCAGACCTACCTAGTAGAGATTTGTTATTGTTTGGTTATACATATATATATATATATACATATATGTTTTGTCCCCTAAGAAGTGTTGACCAAATAGAAGCGACGCAAATGAAATATTGCAGGAATAAGCAGTGAAGGGGACAGAAATTTTAGAGGAGGGAGCACAAATGCAACCCAGCGCAAATGCTGAAGGTGAATCCAGCAAAAAGTTTAGCTGATGCATGTGCTTTAGGAAGAGGTGCTGGAAAGTCAAATTTCAGCTGAAAACCTGAAGGCAATTCACCAAGGATGTGCGCTTCCTCCTTAACCAACCCCTTCACCAAGCAAGGAATTAAAATAAAAGTTTGGCTTAGTATTTCCATCTGTTTTTTCTATCCTGACAAGCCTCGGCAGCATGTGACAAGGGTTTCCTCATTGGGAGAAATCCTGGAGGCTCCCGTTGTGTCTCAGCCTGGGGCACTGGGCATCAGCTTCAGTCCTTCTGGGAGCGCCTAGTAAGGTCGCGGAGAAGTTTGGCCAAATATAATTTACCTTTGCGGAGCTACGCTCTCTTTAGGACTTATTTGATGCAATGAGTTCTCAAATCTCTTAAGAAGCAGGTTGAGTTGAGCTTGAAACTCCCAGTTGCTTCAAAAAGATCTTCTCGGGAGGCATTTTGTGGAGAGCTGGGTTCCTCCAGAGATGGCAGGAATTTAGTATTATTTAATTGACCATTCTGCTGCCCTTGTCCTTGAGCTTATTTCATAATCCACAAATCCAAGATCTGTTTTTCCACTGCAAACTGGGAAGCCCGTTGAAGTCGGGGCAAAGTTTCTGAGGAATCCTGCTGGA